CAGAGGGAGAATAACACCAAATGATGAAAAAAATGTAATTAAAAAAACCCCCAAATTAACTCAATTAATACTGAATCTTTGACAGCCCTAATTTCCAATTGCATCACAAACCTTTCACTACCACGGTCGCAGTGGTCTCAGCAGTTCCTGCCTTACAGGTGTAGGTGGCGCTGTCCTCAGGTTTGACATCCACAATGTGGAGTTCCAGCAGACAGCCGTCCTGCTTCATGTTGTACCTCATGCTGCCTCTAAGAGGCAGTCTGTTCTTCCTCCACTGCACTGACAGACCAGGTTTGGACACCTGACAGGACAGAGAGACAGTGTCTCCCTCCTCCACTTCCACACTTTCTAAGTCTTTCTCGAAGAACGGAGACAGTTCTGTGAAACACAAACATTGAAGGATCACTTTTCCATGCGCTAGTATTTATTTTTATACAAACACGGGAGTTTCTCAGATTTACACACCTTTCACTTCCACATTTGCAGTGGTCTCTGCACCTCCTGCCTGACACGTGTAGGTGCCACTGTCCTCAGGTTTGACCTCCTTGATGTGAAGCTGGAGTAAGCCTCCATCTTGGTTGATGTCATACTTTCGACTGGCTCTTATTGGCAGCCTGTTCTTCCTCCACTGCACAAACACTCCTGGTTTAGACAGCTCACAGCACAGAGACAGAGTTCCTCCCTCTTCAGCCACAACGTTACACAATTCCTCGCAGAAGAACGGAGTGAGTTCTAGAAAAACGTAAAGTCAATCGATTAATTACCAAATGAATGCTCTTACACTGGGGCTGTTACCAACCTCTGTGCACCAACAACATGATCACACCTTTCACTGACACACTCGCAGAGGTCTGTGTGCCTCCTGCCTGACACATGTAGGTGCCACTGTCCTCAGGTTTGACCTCCTCAAAGTACAGCTCCAGCAAACAACCATCCTGCCCGATCTTGTGCCTCCTGCTGGCTCTCAGAGGTACTCCGTTCTTCTTCCACTGCACTGACAGATCAGGTTTGGACACCTCACAGGACAGAGAGACTGACCCTCCCTCCTCCGTCTGGACATTTTGTAACTCCTTCTTGAAGAATGGGGGGATTTCTGTAAAAAAAAAAAAAAAAAGTTTGAAGAATGGGGGAATTTCTGTAAAAAAAGAGTAAAATGCCTTTGAATTGTCCAGAAAAAACACACTTTTGACACATCATTTTAAAGATAAACACACCTCTCACTGCTACATTCGCAGTGGTCTCCGCGTCCCCTACTCCACACGTGTAGCTTCCACTGTCTTCAGGTTTTAGATCCTTGATGTGCAGCTGGAGGAGGCGGCCATCTTGGTTTATCTCATACTTCCTGTTTGCTCTCAGAAGCAGATTGTTCTTCTTCCACTGCACTGACAGATCAGGCTTGGACGCCTCACAGCACAGAGAAACCGTACCTCCCTCCTCTGCCTCCACGTTCTCCAGTTGTTGTTTGAAATAAGGCTTTAGCTCTTTAACAGGAGCGAGAATTTTCATCACAGAGACAATTATATATACATAAATATAGTCATAACCCAGTGTGAATCATATCATCTGAACGTACCTTTAACTGCCACAGTTGCTGAGGTCTCTATGCGTCCCGCCTGACACGTGTAGGTGCCACTGTCCTCAGCTTTGACCTCCCTCATGTGCAGCTGGAGGAAGCAGCCATCTTGACTGAACTCACAGCGTCTACTGGGCTTCAGAGACACTTTGTTTTTCTTCCATTGAACTGAAAGTCCAGGTTTGGACACCTCGCATTTCAGAGTCACTGTTCCTCCTTCCTCCGCCTTCACATTTTCTAATCCTTTTCTGAAGAATGGCGGGAGCTCTGTGTGGTATATAAAAAAAAATTATAAAAAATAATTTTATAAAAAGAACATCAAGTATAAATTATTTTTTGTGTTCACCAAATACCCATTTTGTGAACACAAAAAATAATATATTTAATTTTTTTTTAAAAATATCATCAGTCTACATCCACAGATGTTTGTCTTATATAATCCTCATTATATTGGCTTTTTTTAAAAAATGTTTATTGTCCATACACACCTTTCACCGTCACACTTGCAGTGGTCTCTTCTCTTCCAGTCTGACAGCTGTAGCTACCACTGTCGGCCAGCGTGAGCTCTCTGATGTGGAGGACAATATTGCTGCCCTCTTGTGTCATTTCATACTTTCTGCTGGCTCTCAGAGGCAGTTTGTTCTTCTTCCACTGAACTGAAACCCCAGGGTGAGAGAGTTCACAGGACAGGACGGCCGTTCCTCCCTCTTCAGCCTCCACACTTCTTAATTCTTTCTTGAAGAATGGTGGCGGCTCTTGGAGAAGAGAATAAGAAAGATCCCACCAAATTTACAAACTCTAGAACGGCATGTAACACTTACGTCAGTGATGTCAAACTAATTTTCATCGGGGGCCACATCAGCAATACAGTTCCCCTTGAAGGACGGGGTGTAAATGGAAGATCAGGGGTCCCCAACCCCTGGTCCGCGGACCAGTACCGGTCCATAGGTAATTTGGTACCGGGCCGCAGTATGAAACTCATATCCTGTCTGTCATATCCGTTTACTTTCTTTATTCAAAGATAATCTAACAATATTTTAAAATAATAGGTCATAGGTCAGACTCTACTGCTAACAGAATAAAACGTGAATATGAATACTTTTAATTTCTTAGGCTCTGCTGCATGGACTTTACTAAATGCTTTTTAAAGCTCCCGCGGGCCACACAAAACGGCTTAGCGGGCCACATTTGGCCCCCGGGCCTTGAGTTTGACACGTATGACTTACGTCATTATAATAAAAACGTTACGTTTAGAAAGCAGACCTTTTATCGTCACGGTCGCAGTTGTCTCTGCACTGCCGGACTGACACGTGTAGTGGCCGCTGTCCTCAGGTTTGACCTCCTTGATGTGCAGTTGCAGGAAGCAGCCGTCCTGTTTTACCTCGTACTTCCTGCCGGATCTCAGCGGCAGTCCGTTCTTTTTCCACTGAACTGGCATAGAAATTTTAGACAGCTCACAGTAGAGAGTGACAGAATCCCCCTCCTCAGCTTCCACGGCCTGCAGCTCCTCCTGGAAGAACGGGGGCAACTCTGGACAAAACAGAATCAAAACAGTCAGGTTGATCTGATATGACAAAGTCAACTTCAGGACTTTATCGGTGTCTCCTTAAACGTTTTCTACCGTCACCTGTCACAGTAACTTTGGCGGTACTTTGCTCGTCTCCTGTATCACAGCAGTATGTGCCAGTGTCCAGAGGCTCCACGTCATGGATGAGCAGCAGGTGGACTTTTCCCTCCTGACGTAGCCCGTACTTGTCACCACTCAGGAGGGGAATGTGGTTCCGTCTCCAGGTAACATTGGACGTGGTGTCAGAAACCGTGCAGGATAAAGTGGCCGTCTTTCCCTCCATGATCACGACATCTTCAGGCTTCTTCTCAAATAAAACTAAAACGTGACATAGCAGTAGCATAAAGATCAAAAACTTACGTGGTAACTTTAAATATATTTAAAAAATGTTTTAATTATTTTATGACTGGAATCCTAACATAAAGAATGTTACAATATTTTTAAACAATATAAATACTTGAGTCATTGATAAAAAATATGTTTTCTTTGGTCAAAATGTTTTGTGTTTTTTTTTTCTGGCTTTCAGGTTTTTTCAGGTTTAGCAATTACATTTTTTACGATTCCAGTTTTTGGTTTCCTCCTTGTTGCAAGTTAAGCGTTCTTTCTCGATATTCAATTTTTGAACAAATTTCTACTTGAAGTGGATTCACCTAATCTTTATTGTTTTCGAAAAAGTATTGTGATGTATGTTTATTGAAAGGTCAGCCAATTATGTTCACTCTTATCTCTTTTTCCTCTATATTCCAAATTCAAACCAAGCCATTCTTACCCTTGGGTTTAGGAAGCACCGTCAGATGAGCAGAAGTTTTCTCGTCCCCAACCACAAACATCACTGTGCCCGTCTCTTCCGTCGTCGTCATGGAGAGGACCAGCTTCTGCTGACGACCTTGGCAGGTCATCTGGTTCATCTCGTTCTGCTGCAAAGGACTGGGTCCGAGCCACCAGACGCCTTCGCTCACCGCCGCGTGGCTCAGCTCGCACACGAACACCGCGTTCTCTCCTGCCGTCACCCTCACGTCTCGCAGTTCGGTGACAATACGTACTCTCTCTGTACGGTGTTTACAGTATCACAATAAGATGTCAGTACTTTCCTTTTACTACATGAGGTTGAGAGTTGCCACCAGTTGCCACCTACCCCTGACGATGACGTTTGCTGCCGTCTTCTTGCCTCTGCTGATGCAGCAGTACTCGCCCGCGTCCTCCAGAAGCAACTTGTGGATCTCCAGCGTGTGCGTGGGGCCTTTTTTCCTTATGACACAGCGCTCTCCTTCTTCCACGACTTTGTTGTCTTTCTTCCAGGTGACCGGAACGTTAGCATTGGAAACCTCACAAGACAGGAGGACACTTTTCCCCTCCATCACCACTTGATTGATGAGTTCCTTCTCAAAGAACACAGACGCTGCAGCTGCAAAAAGAAACACGCAGGAGGGATTGGGTGGAATGTAAATCGGCACAAAGTTGGACCAAAAAAAAAAACCAAAACACGCCAATGTTCAAATACCTCGCACGTTGACTTCAGCCGTCGTCTTCTGCTCTCCACAGATGCAGCTGTACTGTCCCACGTCCTCTGGTTGGACATTTTTAATGATCATCTCTGCTATATTTCCCTTCTGCACCATTTGACACCTGCCCCCGGGGAACAGCTGGTCCTCGCCCTTCCACCACTCCACTGGTACTCCGGCCCTGGACAGTTCACAGCGCAGTGACACGTTTCCACCTTCGGGGGCCTCCTGGTTCTTCAGACCCATTTTGAATGTGAGTGGAATGGCTGTGGGTTTGAAATATCAGAGGGGATTTTAATTTTGAATTCTGTATTATTCTTTTTTAAATTAAAGAATTGAGAGCTCATAAACCGGCTGGGTTTTTCTGTCACTTTCTCACGTGTGATGGTGACGTTGGCGGTGGTCTTCACGGCGCCACAGTTGCAGCTGTAGAGACCGCTGTCCTCCAGCTGTGTGTTTTTAATGATCAAATCCATGCAACCGCTGCGGTTTTTTATCTGATACTTGAAGTTGTTCTTCAGAACCTCTTCTCCTTTCCTCCACTCCACAGCCAGGCCAGACTTGGACAACTCACAGCTCAAAGTCACATTATTCTCCTCCTCCACTTGAAGGTTTCTCAGCTTCGTCTTGAATGTGACCGGAGGGGCTTTGAATTGTTGAGACGAAGTTATTACCACCTTTTTTTTTAAATGACTCAGATAAATGATTCATATTTGATGCGTCATGTTTCTTTCATACCTTTGACGATGAGCTCGGCGCTCGTCTGGCTGTCGTCAGTCTTGCAGGTGTATCTCCCAGCATCACTTTCCTCCACATTATTGATAGTCAGTTTTGTCAGTCGGCCTTCTTGCTTCATCTCATACTTGTACCCCGGTCTGAGGATCACTCTGCCTTTCCTCCAGTCCACCGGAGCTCCAGGTTTGGAAAGCTCGCAGCAGAAGACACCACTGTCTCCTTCCTTGACCTCCAAAGTCTCCATCTCTTGTTGAAATGTTACCGGCAGCGCTGTGGGAGAGCAAACTCTGTAGATTCAACCTGAAACATTTGATTTTAAATTGGTCGAAGTAATGCTTACCTCTTACTTTGACCTGAGCCGAGGTCACAACAGTGCCGATAAAACAAGAATACTCCCCCGTGTCTTTAAGAGCTAAGTTTCTCATCATCAATTCAGCCACACGCCCCTCCTGCTTCATCTGATATTTGTCTCCTTCTTTTAAAAGCTGAGCGTCTCTCCTCCACTCCACTGGCACTCCTGGCTTGGAGAGTTCACAGCGCAGCATCACGCTGCCTTCCTCCACGGCCTCCTGATTCTTCAGTTTCTGCTTGAACGTCACTGGAATTGCTGAAAAATTTAAAAAAATGAAATCACTCGTCACATGGGGTGAATAAAATCAAGTGTTCTGTTGTGTGGATCGTGTCTAAAGATGTCTGACCAGTGATGATGATGGTGGCGGTAGTTCTCGCTCCTTCACACACGCAGCTGTATTTGCCACTGTCCTCAGGCTGGCTCTTCTTGATGACCAGCTCCAGCGTGGCTCCGTTCTGCTTCATTTGGTATTTGTCACCACAGTTCAGGGCTTTGTCTCCTTTCAGCCAGTGTACAGGGTAGTCCGGTTTGGAAAGGTCACAGCACAGGGTCACCTCATTGCCCTCCTGCACCTGAATGTTTTTCAGTTCTTGGGTAAATTTAATGGGTCGTTCTGGGGAGAAGAGGAAAAACAATTGACAATTTTTTTCAACAAACTGAAAGACAAGATTCAATATTATTTCTTATTTCTGTACTTATATGTAATTACACTTTCCATACAAAATTACTATTTTGGTAAATTTTTTTAAAAAAAGCTTCATAATTGCCAGTATCAGAAATATTTATATTTCTATTATTTTCATCTTAAAAAAAATCATTGAATAGACTGATAGAATTGCATAAAATAATAATATTATAATATAATAGTAATATTGAATAATAATATTTTATACATTAAATGCAGCTCTATTCATGGCAGACATCCAGAACATGTGAATAATAATATTTTATACAGTAAATGCAACTCTATTCATGGCAGAAGACTTAAAACATCGAGAACATGTTGTTTCATTTCTTGGTCTTTTTCTGTGAACTCCAGGTAAAACTATGCACTAAAAGAAACTAAACCTCTCTGTCAGACTCACCGTTCACATGGATCTCAGCTGTTGTTCTCTGATCACCACACACGCAGATGTACTCTCCACTGTCATCCAGCTCCAGGTCCACGATCTTCATCTCCACCTGGAGGTCTTTCTTCCTCATCTGGTACTTGTCTCCGTTCGTCAGGAGCTCACTTCCTCTCCTCCACTCCACAGACGGAGCCGGCTTGTCAAGCTCGCAGTGCAGAACCACACTGCCGCCCTCGGTCGTCTCCTGGTTCATCAGTGGATGCTTAAAAGTCGCCGGTAAGCCTGAAGTCAGCCAATGAATTTATTAGAAACACAAGAAACGCAGCTAAAGATATGTGACAACATGGATAAATGACGATGACATCACCTCCCAATCAAAACCACCACAATAAAAAAATCTTAAATAAATACATTGAAATGATGGGATTATTGTGTCGTCCCAGCAATTGGTGAAGTTATCAGGGAAAATGTGTTCATGGATGAAATATTAAGTTCATTAACAAAAACCAACTTCACTAATTTAGTGTTGGACGGTGAACTGAATGATCTGATAAATATATTGTACTGTGACCGGGGTGACATGAATGGACTTTGTGAGTCATGAAAGTCATGTGATCTTGACAGTCATGATGGACCTGTCAAGTAGGAGTTAAGGTTAAAAGAGTCAGTGTTGTTTTGACTGAACTATTTTGAAGCTGACCTCTTCGACGTCTGCGCTCATAGGACGCTGCAGGATGCATTTGGAAATTTTATCAGAGGAGCAAGAATGAACAGATTTGCAAAAGAAACGTTTTTGTTCAGTTACTCCTGAGATGTCGTCCTTACCCTGGACTGTAAGTTCAGCGATGGACTGGCTGTCTTTAGTCTTGCACGTGTACGTCCCGGCGTCGCTCTCCTCGACGTTGTAGACGACGAGTTTAGAGAGACGTCCTTCCTGTTTCATCTCATATTTCCCTCCAGGCTTCAGGATGACTCTGCCTTTCCTCCACTCCACTGCAGCTCCAGGTTTGGAGAGCTCACAGCAGAAGACTCCACTGGCTCCTTCCTTCGCCGCGAGGGGCTGCAGCTCCCGTTTGAATGTGACAGGAAGTACTGTTGCAGAGGAACATTTACGACAACGATACATAGATCTTATCTGGTATTCTTCTCAAACTACATGGCACTTCCTGTTTTAGAAAATGTCTGCAACGTCTTTTCACAATGATTGAAATGATTTCTTTAATTAAGGACGTCCAGCGCTCTACTAATAATTCCTAATAAAACTTACTGTTACTGTGTTTCTACCGTTGCTTACATTTGACTTTGATTTCAGCCGTGGTCTTCTCATCACCCACGACACAGCCGTACCTCCCTGCGTCTTCTGGCTGGACGTTAACAATGGTCATCAGTGCTATCTTTCCTTCCACTTTCATCTCATACTTCCCCCTGGACGTCTCCTCTGTCAACGCCCGACCGTCTCTCTGCCACTGCACCACAGCTCCCCTCTTGGACAGCTCACACCGTAAGGTTGCATCAGTCCCTTCTTCCGCCTCCTGACTTTTCAGGCTGACTTTAAACCTGGCGGGAACAGCTGTTGAAAAATAAAAGCATGAGCTTCTGCACACGGAGTCAGTTGTACACGTCACTCACAGAGTGAACTCACCTGTAACTTTAACGGTGGCCTTCGTCTTCTGCTCTCTGCAGGTGCAGGTGTACACACCACTGTCCTCTGGCTCAGCATCTCTGATCATCAGCTCCAGGACGCTGCCTCTTTGCTTCATCTGGAATTTCTCGTCATTCTCTAGCGGCTCTCCTGCCAGCGTCCACTCCACCGGAACTCCGGGTTTGTTGACCTCACAGGTCAACGTGACGTTGTGACCTTCCTCGACTTGCAGGTTCTTCAGCTTTTGTTTGAAAGTGATGGGAAGAGCTGAACAGAACGACATAAATGCAGTGACTCACGGGTTTGTAATATTTTTTTTTTTAATATTAGGTCTTGTGGATTTTCTCCTTACTACTTTGTTCATAAGTATGCGTTAAAATCACTTAATTTATTTTTTTTCATTTTTCATTATTCTTTACTACTTTGTTCATAAATCTGCATTAATATCACTTAATTTTTTTTCTTCTATTTTTTAGGTAAAGAAAAAAACAAAAAACAAAACAAAAATCTGAAAATATTAAGCAGAGATATTTCAATATTTAACCAAAATTCAGAGCAACTGATTTTCATCAACCATCACCCACCATTCACAGTCAGGGTGGCCGTCGTCTCAGCGTTCCCACAGATGCAGGTGTAGATGTCACTGTCCTCTGGCGTCACGTCAGTGACTCGCAGCTCGATCAACACGTCTCTCTGACGTATATGATATTTCTCTCCGTTCCTGAGGAGCGTCTCCCCCCTCCTCCACCACTCCACCACGTGACCAGGTTTGGACAGTTCACAGCGCAAAGTGGCGGTGTTGCCCTCCTCGATTATCACGTTCCTCAGCTTCTGCTTGAATGTGACTGGCAGAGCTGGAGACATATGAACGTCACAGTAACATATATATATATAAATGGACATTAGGTACATTCAGTCCAATCAACGACTTATAAACCGACCTGTGACTTTAACCGTGGCAGATGTCGTCTGGTCAGCACACACACAGCTGTAGACTCCACTGTCTCCAGGCACAGACTTCCATATCAGCAGCTCCAGTGTGGTTTCTCGTTTCCTGATCTGGTGTTTGACTGCATTTTTCAGCAGCTCGTCGTCTTTCTTCCACTCCACCTTCACTCCAGGTTTGGAAATCTCACAGCGCAGTACGATGTTGCTGCCCTCCTCAGCTTGCATGTTCCTCAGTTGTTGTATAAATGAGATGGGAATACCTGGAGAGACAGACAGACAGAGAGAGAGAGGGAGCTGGTCATGGGAAGAACGTGGAAGTTGTCAATAATTTGACCTGTACTTCACAGCAAAACCTGTACTTGAAGCCCAAGTTTCAAGTCACTCCTGCTCCTACACAGCCTTCTATTGCTTATGATAATCCTTGGTGAATCTGAATTTAAAAATGTTAAAAACTGATACTACACAACGTAAAAAAAAAATTCAAAAAAAATTTTCTTAACTGGTATCCAGTTTGATAATAACAGAATGGTACGTCTGATTAAAAAAATTTAGACAGTTAATCTACAGTTAAGGGCTAATTTTTTAAAAAAGCCAGAAGACAGTTAATCGACAGTTAAGGGCTAAGGATGAAAACATAACCTACAGTTATTAATACATTTTGTTTATTTTCATTTACATCAAAAAGTCAAAAGTGAAAAAATATTAGTATTTAAACTAGAAAATGTTTGTTACTTTTATCTCTTACTCACCATGTAGTATTTATAAAAGAAAAGATTGATGTTATACTGTTGTATTGTAGTACTGTTGTACTGTAGTACTGTAGTACTGTAGTACTGTAGTACTGTACTTACCATGTACTTTCAGTCTTGCTGTCGTCTGATGATCTCGACATTGACAGGTGTAGTCCCCAGAGTCGTGGGGTATCAGGGTTTTGATGGTGAGAGAATTGAGAGTTTTCCTCTGTTTGATCACATGCCTGTCTCCAGGTCTGACACTCTCACACCCTTTCTTCCAGAAGACCTGAACCCCGGGCAACGAGAACTCACAGAGCAGGGTCACAGTCTCTCCTTCGCTGGTGTCTATGTCTGTCAGAGGCTTGGTGAACTCTGCTGGGATGGCTACAAAACAAAAGGATGTTCAACACTGATCAACATGAATACACAAATACTCCTTAATGCTCCAATCACAGCCCACCTTTGACAGTGACGACGGCTCTTGTTGTAACAGACCCTGCGCTGCACTCATACACCCCCGCGTCGCCCTGACAGATCTCCCTGATCGTCAGTCGAGCCTCGCAGCCCGAGCGAGCGGTGAAATATCTGGAGGAGCTCCACATGAGGCAGCCGTCTTTGTACCAGACGATGTGGCACGGTTTGGACGTCTCGCAGGACAAAACCAGACCACCTCCTTCAATGGCCTCGCAGTCCTCCAGTGCTTTGATGATGGTGGGACGCCTCTCTGAGAACACACGGGTGACGCCACATGTCACGACCACACGAGGCGTTACATCACAGCCGGCTGAAGGTTCGACTCACCTCTGACCAGGAGCGAGGCATACGACCTTTTGTTTCCAGCTACGAATGAAATGGTGCCGGTGTCTTTGCGGGCGAGCTGTTTGAAGGTGAGGGTGTGGCGGCCTTCGGGAATCATCTGGATCTCGTTGAGCTCGTTGGTATAGAGCAGAGTCTCATCCAGGTACCACTTGACCCCCATGTAGTCGCCGGGGCAGATCCTACATCTGAACGTGACAGTGTCGCCTTCCAGACACTCGACGTCCTCAAGTTCATCCAGGATCATCACTCTCTGGTCTGCGTTAAACATTTAAAAAAAAAAAAAAAAAATCACTTTTATGATAAATGTAATGAGTCATTTTTAGACATAATCAAGAGACAATTCTTATCACTAATAAATATAATGAACAAAAATGCCTTTTGCATATTATATAAAAGGAAAATAGGACATTTAGGCTCACAGGATATTAAGCATTGATTCAGTATAAAAGACAGTCTTTATACAGCAAAAAAACTAAAAAATTACTTGCAGAATTCCAACAAATACCATTTTTCATAAAAATGAACTCAGAGTGTGTGGTTATATTTTAAAACTTTATTTTATTTTGACATTATTTTTGGTCAATTTAGAGCATCAATCAACCTAATCCATAACGTGAAAATCAGATTATCCAGAGAAAGTCTATGCACGCAAGGGCAAAACGTGCAAAATCTAGACAGAGACTGGGAGTTGAACCAGCAAACCAGTGATTCACTTAATGATTTGTGAACCAAATATCAGTGCATACCTGCTCTTTGGTCTGAGCTGACTTCAGTTCAACAGCACTTGACCACAGCAGAGCAGTAAATATTTGGTATTCTCACCCTGCACCGTCAGCTGTGCCCGGCTCTGCATGGTGCCAACGTCACACGTGTACAGGTCCGTGTCTAACTTCTCCAGGTAGGTGATGGTCAGCGACAGCACCACACCCCTCTGTCTGATCACGTACTTCCTGCCGGATCTCAGCTCCACCAATCCTTTGAACCAGGTCACTTTCTTGGGGGGCCGCCAGGTCTCACACTCCAGGGTCACTTTACCCTTTTCTTCTGCGTACGTGTCAGGTAACTCTTTTGCAAATGTGTGCTGAAGTTCTAAGATGATTTGAGAAAGTTTAGAAGATTAACATTGTTTTATAGAATTTATTTGAGTACCGTAGTCACTGTGGTTTAATCAGAAGACTCCCCTAACCATTTATTTGAGTACCGTAGTGACCGTGGTTTAATCAGAAGACTCCCCTAACCTCTGATCTCCAGCTTGGCACGTGAGGCCACGCCCCCGGCCTCACAGCAGTACTCCCCGGAGTCTCTGATGGTGCTATTCTTGATCACCAGCCGTGCCAAGTTCTTCTCTACACTCATCACATACTTAGGGCTTTGTCTGATTAGATGGCCATTTTTTAACCAGTGGATGGTGACCTCAGGTTTGGTGATTTCACAGCTCAGCTCTGCATCCTCTCCTGGCACGGCCTTCACTTTCAGCAGCTCTCTGAAGATGTGAACTGGTTTTTCTTCAGTAAGGGGGAAAAAAATCATTAATAGTCATTAATATTACGTTATTTAAAAATGATTTTTTTAAAAGTGAAAGTGAATTTTTGTCACTGATGCACAGCTCAGGTGAGCGCCCAGCGAGCAGTGTGTGAGAACGGTGCCGTGTTCAGTGCACCTCAGTGGCTGGTGGATTCAAACCGGCAACCTTCCGGACACAAGTCTGCTTCCTGAGTACCACACCACCACTGCCCTTTTTGTATAAACAATATATTAGGGATGTCTGATATTAACTAGAATATTAGGGATGTCTGATATTAAGTATTTGCCGAAATCCGACATTGTCCAAACTCTCAATTTTGATTTCATTCGTTGCTGTCATATGCAGCTGTTCACAGCTGTGTCACAATGACAATAACACACTTTCACTTTCAATCCACGAAAATAATAATAATAAAAAAAAAATCAAGTCACCTTTGACAAACAGCACGGCTCTGCAGCTCAGGTCTTTGATTGAGAAGACCACGTCTCCGGCGTCCGTGATAACTGCATTTCTCACAGCCATCTTATACTTGCGGCCGTTGCGGACCACCTGCAGGCGCTCGTTGGCGGCTACATCCTGGCCGTTGATGGTCCAGGAAGGTTCATCATCCACATCGTGAGAGAGGAGGCACTCAAAGGTGCAGCTTTCACCCTCCAGGACAGAGGCCGTCTTTATACGGTGAACAATGGTGATGTGCAAATCTGGGGATGAGATTAAAAACAGTGGAAAACACTTAATATCAGAATAATATGTTGTTTTGAAAATAAGGTTTTCTTTTAAAAAAAATGTTTTCATATTTCTCTTTCACCGTGTACTGTAACTTTAGCCTTGGTCTGGCTGGTGCCCAGGTCACAGGTGTACTGTCCAGCATCATCTTTGCTCAGCGAATGGATAATCAGTGCCATTGACTTCCCAAACTGCAGCAGCTCATACTTTTCATCAGCTTTTATCATCACATCGTCCTTCCTCCACACAGGAGTCACCGTCTCTTTGGAGGTTTCACACTGAAGACAGACCTGTCCCTGCTCCTCTCCGACCACGTCCTCCAGAGACCTCAGGAAAACTGCTGGACGCTCTGTTTCAATAAAGCCAATAAAGTTACTCAGAGAACTGTTTCTATATTCAACCAAAAAGGGGAGGGGAAATGACTCATTGATTTTCCTCGATTTACCTTTAACTTTCAGGACCGTTGTCTCGGAGAGCAGACCGGCTCTGATGGTCACGCGGCTCAGCTGTGGCCGCAGCTTCTTCATGGTGAGGCTGTGGATGGTGCCCATGTGCTGGATCCTGTTGATGGCGTTGGGGTAGACACGGATGTTGTTGTGCAGCCACTCCACGTTGGCCACCACATAGTTGAGCTCACATGAGAAGGTGGCGTCGCCTTCTTCCTCCATCTCCACCGGCTCCAGGTGTTTGATCAACTTGAGTGTTTTCACTGCAACACAATCACACGTGTTAAAGAATGAAACAGAGATTTAAATGTTAAAAATCTACTGTCCAGCGAGCATACATTCCACTTTAACATTTGCTGTGCTCTGTGACCCTCCGGCCAGGCAGTGGTACTGTCCCGAGTCGATCCCTGACACACCGTGGATGGTCAGATCTGCTCGTCTTCCTTCTCTCCTCATGCTGTACTTGTTGGATGTCTTCAGAGCGGTGCGACCTTTGAACCAGCGCACCGCTCTGGGAGAGGGGTTAAAATGACAACTCAGAGTCACCGAGCTGTTCTCCTTGGCCTTCACGTCTTCCAAGTGGTGAACAACCTGAAGAGGGCGCTCTGCAAAGAAAGAATAAAGAACCCAGCATGAGACAGCTGAGGTACATGTCCACGCTGTCGTTTAAATCTATTAAACTGATTCTGTTTTCCCAGTTTTTCAGTGACTCCCACCTTTCACCGCGAGCTGAGCCGTAGAGCGGCTCTTTCCGGCTACGAAAACCACAGGACCAGACATGGAGGTGTCTGTGGAGGTGAGACGGAGACTGTGGACAGCTCCGTCCCTGTCGATGTTCACCGCCGCACACGGTTCTAGGACCTGGTTGTTTAGCGTCCATTTGGGGGGCCGCCCTGACTTTAGGCTGGTTTCCACCTGGAACAGCGCTGGATCCGGCTCCATCACCTCCACCGAGGTCATCCCCCGCACGATGCTGATGGCCTGCTCTGCATGTGTATCCAGAAGGAAACAATTACACGACTGATTATTGGATAATGATAAATATACAGTGCTGTAGATCAAAGTGAACGTCTCACCCTCTACCAGGAGCTGACATGAGGTTTTATCGTCTCCTGCGTCACAGGTGTACGTGTCCTCATCTGAGGAGCGGACGTCATCGATGGTCAGCTGCCTGTACACATCTTGGCTGATCAGTTGGTACTTCTTACTGGGCAGTAGCTCCTTCCTGTCCTTGTACCACCTGACCTGAGCGTTAGGTCGCGACACCTGGCACTCTAGCAGACCCCGGTGGCGGTACATAGCTATTTTGATCCTCAGAGGACGCACTATTTGGACTGGGAGCTCTGGAGAAGGTAAAAGGTGGAGGTAAATAAATCCATACCATTGGTAGAAAAATATTTAAGGACCAGAATGAACCTTAACCTTTGACGGTGAGAGTTGCAAAAGATGACACACGCTCTGCAGTGAATCTGATATCTCCCGCGTGCTCGGGCCTGACCGACGCAAAAGACAGTGTATGTGTTCTACCTGTATGAAGATAGAAACTATTATTTTACTAAAAATGTAAATTAGGGTGCATAGAACGAGTACGGTGGTGGTCACTTGCCCTGGTGTCTGATCTTGATGTTGTCCCCGGTTCGAATCCTGGTGTCATTTCTGTACCAACGACCGTCCACATCAACCTGGTTGACCTCACACGTGAAGGTCACAGGTTGACGTTCAACTATGTCGACATCCTCCAGGTCCTTCACTATGTGTATATCCCTGGCTGGGAAAAGATGTACAAAAAATGAATTATTTCTAAAAGATTCCAAATGTCAGTTTAAAAAGATATTAAACTGCTGCCCTACCTCTGACGACATTATTTATTTTCATATTTACTTGGGTGAGCCGCCGTTGCTTAAGTTAAAAGATTCCAAATGTCAGTTTAAAATGATATTAAACTGCTGCCCTACCTCTGACACAAAGACGACATGACGTCTGAACACCATCAGCCTGAAAGGAGAAGAGGCCGGCATCTCCCAGAGACACTCTGTTCAGTGTGAGCGAGTGTTTCTTTCCGTGCATATTGATGCGACAGTTGGGCCGACACTTGAGTTGAATCCCGTCCCTGGTCCACACCCCTTCGATGTAGGCCAGGTTGAGCGTCACCTCAAAGGAGCAGCTCTCACACTCGGACACCTCCACATCCTCCAGACCCTTCAGCACCTGCAGCCGGTTCTCTGACATCGAAAACACACGTGGTGAAAATCTAAAAGCTTCTGACTTAAACTGCAGACACAGCAGAGCGTGTGTGAAGAACTTACTCGCAGCCGCTACGATTCCTCCGGGTATGCTGTCTGCCATGTCTCCTCTTCTGTGTCAGTGATTACTTCCTCTACTACAGACGTCAGTCATTACCTGGAACTAACACGTGATTTCAAACAACCGACATACTACAAGGTTCTGTCAAACAATCAGGTAAAAGTATAGTCAGACCTATTGCGACGTTTGCAGACAAGCCAGATAAAAAAAAAAAGAATACGCTCTGAACAATTAAAGTATCACATTCAAACATCAACAGTGTCAGATTTCCTCCACATTGAAGAACAGAGTAATCTGTGTCTTCACCAGTCTGAGGTCATCAGCACTAATATAGACTCAGCTGTAGGGCGACCTTTGTCCAGCTACATTCAGCTTCACTCAGATACATGAAAAGCACATAAATGATCCATTTTCTTTCTTCAATATTTTGAGCTTTTGTCATTCACTGAATATGAGATGACAGTCATCACACAGCAAAAACACAATATGAAGCATTTAGCTTTGGTAATAAAGACTAAAAGTTCATGTCTACGTAACAGCTTTGAAAAAGAAAATTATAAATGTTGTAAATCTTCCATAAACAGCAGTTGATAAACCATCACACATCAGATTCTGATATAAAAATGATCCTACCTTAATGTAGGTGTGTTCCTAAAGGTACGTATCCATACATATTCTCTTGCTCCTGCAAATACCTTAATGTAAGTGTGTTCCTAAAGGTAATCCATACAAATTTTCTTGCTCCTGCAATAAAACACCGTTACTTAAAAAAAAAAAAAAAGAAAAAAAAAGAATCTCCAGCATCAGATCAGTCCAAGTCTTGATTTGCTCCGTACAAAGCCTTTCAGATTAGCAACAATCATTCAGTCGCAAAGGAACATGCTTCGGTTTGCAAACTGCATCCCAGACCAGTCAGACTACAGCGCTTTCTTTTTTTTTCAGATGTGATGGAGCGTAGTGACGAACAGCTGACATATCCTTCTCCACATACTAACATCCAAAATAGCCTTCTGTCAGTACGAGGGCAAAGATAGCTCCGGCTTTAACAGTGTGAGGAAACTCACTGCCAGCATCACTGAACAAAACATACACAATCAAAGTGTATACAACAGGCTAAGTGGGTTTGATGGGTTTTTTTTCCCCTTTGAGTTTGAATAATTAGATTGACACGCAGGGGAGTGACCTTATGACCTCATGCAGCTTAGTGATGTTGATGAGTTGTGGGAATAGTATATTTGTATATCTGCATTGTTTGTTTTAGATAAAATCAAATATACTTAGATTATATTTTATACTATATTTATACTGTATCATAAAGTCGCAAATTATTATTTTTTTGTTTAAATCATGTGTATAAACTGAGGCAAGTTAAAAAGTTCCAGAAGTGAAAAGGTCATACTCAAAGTGCGTTTTCAGTTTTCAACTTTGACAGTCAGTGCAGAGCCTAAACTGGTGGGAGACCCCTCATCCAGACGGAACAACACGCAACAAGAACAGCAGCAGCAGCACTGCACACATTGTGTTCACCTCAGTTTGACGGACAGCTGCATGTGCCACCAAGCTCCGTTAAGTCCAGTGAAACTCTATCGACAGGATAATCCCCACACAGCCCTGTTGGGGGCACAAAAAACAACTTGTCGTCACTGAGTGGGGAATGTTGGCTCACATGCAGACCAGACATCAAATCTTTAAGTTTCCAACGGCCCATTTATCAGGAGTTTCTGAAGACAAAACATAGTCATCTTAGGTTTATACATCTCAGTTAAATACATCCCATAGTCAACCTAAGGTTAGAGCTAAAAAAAATTAAGTTTTGTTGCATTCATTCATCCTCGCAGAATGGTTTAAAATCATGTCCCGTGACATTCAACGCAGCCTGGAGGTCAACGTGACGTCTTGAAATGTGGGACTTCACATGTGTAGCATCCTACCAATGGTGCATGCAGGCTAAAAATAGCCTAATGCTAAAGGAAGCTAGGCAATGTGAGGATGTGATGAGTGAATTTAGAACTTGACAAAACAGCTGAACAGACCACTTAAGCCTCTGGTGCCTGGTTTGGTCCATGCCCCTCCTGTGTGTCGCACTTCCTCCGGAGTCCAGTCTCTCAGTACCTGAGAGGAGACGAATCAGAGGGAATGAAAAAAGTGTAGAACGGTTTAGGTTTCTGCTCCACAATGACTTAAAACAAAATTCTATAGAAACAGAACCAAGTCACATTTTTACATGAGCAATAACTTAATAAAACACTGTTACTCTGGGGCAGGTAGTGTATATATTTTTATTTTTTTCCGAGTTGGCTGCGCGATAATGTGCTCATTACAAAGATGTGTGTAAAATTTCACAACTTATTTTTTTCCTTTCTTTTTCTTCTTCTTTGCGTTCTTGCCCTTGTCCTTGGTTTCCTCCTCATCTTCATCTCTTCCTGTGGCAGCCTTAATTCTCTTCTTACCAAGAGGAGTCTTTGCATACCAGTTCTACAGACACACAAGAGAAAAATCCAAATGAACATACTGACAAAAACAACATGTAATGTCACAATGTTAAACAAAAAAAAACCAGACAAAAACAACATGTAATGTCACAGTGTTGAAAAATAATATTTACTTTAAGTGTCTCTTCTTCCTCCTGAAACACGGGGTCAAACTTGGCTAAAGCAGAAACAAACTCTGCAGCAATCAGAGGTTTGTTTTTCTGCTGCAGGACGCGGCGTTTGGTGACGACTCTCTGTATCACCTGCACCATGTGACCCGGCGTGTAGCCATCGGAGATCTTGGCCAGAGAGCTGAGGTCAAGGTTGGTTGTTACCTCACCTCCGTGCTTTTGAATAAGATGTTTCCATAAGACTGAAGAGAAAAAAGAAGTCAACTTTTCATCACAATTAAGATGAAAATTTTTAACTATCATTTCTTACTGTATCTTGAACCGTAGTCGGGTCGTGGGATGAGGATTATTTTGCTGTACATCTTACACAGTGCCTTCATGTCAGCACTTGCAGGGTCTGTGGTCGTTCCCACAATCAGAACGCGGTCTTCGCCTTTGAGCAACTTCAGGAACTTGAACAAATCTTTCTTCAGTCTCTTTGGATCCAGCTGGTTCCACAGAAAAAAAATAATTAAACAAAATATGAATATGGAAAAAAACATTATGCTACCCTGGTGTACCTCTTTTTCTTCTTTTGGAACTTTCTTGTAAAACATTTTCTCTGCATCTTCAATCAAAATGACAGAAGGCTGGAGCAATCGTGCAACCTGTGTGAAGATGGAGAAGAACACAAAGATAGAGATATAATAATTAAGATGATGCATTTTTTTACTTTTTCCTGCAAGAGTGCCAAATGTTCTAAAAATTAAGTATTTAGAACAATAGCAAGACCATTTGGAATAGATCTGACCTTAAATACAACATGAAGCATCATGGCCAGGCCACTTTTGCCTGGGTACTTTCCTGCTGTGTTCAGAGGTGAGAGGTCAAACAGAGTGGCCCCCGTCTCGTGACAGATCGCATGGACCAACATGGTCTTACCGACGCCTGCTGGCCCTGCCAGTAACATGGCTCTAATCGGAGGAGCCTTTTCATGAACCACCTGAGAGCCTGAAAAGAAAAAAAACACAAAAAAAACACATCCAATATCACAATCAAAATTAAAAAAAAAAATAAATAATTTTTTTAAGATTAAAACCTACATACACATCCAAGATCCCAATCAAAATTAAAAAAAAAAAAAAAAAAAAAAATGTTTAATTTATTTTAATTTTTTTACTTAAGATTAAAACCTACACACCTAAAGGTAATATTCCATACAGGGATATGACTTGTCGTACATCTGACAATGTGGGCATGGGTTCAATGTCGTACTGCCTCAGTGTTGTGCCGAGGTAACTGTAGTCACCTTGGAAAGGAAAAAAATATAAAAATGATAAAAACAACATTTAGAAAATTATAATTATTCTGCAGGTCAGTGTAAACTAAACTAAAATAAAAACCTGTTTATTGTGACCATATGCAGTAAGTAAACAAACCAGTAGAGGGGAGCATACAACAGTGACAGTTCCCCTCTAGAGCTGAGAGACAACAAATACATCAATACAAAGTCTTACCTAAATATTCCTGCAGACAAACGTGTTTCGTCTTCTTTATCAATCTCTGCTGCACCAGTTCTTGACAAAGAGACTCAAGAGTCCTAACAGGAAAGAGAATAAAAAAAAGGTTTTGTCATTAATGGCCTAATTAACTGATATGACGTGTGCCTGGAGAATTCTGCTGAACTCTGAACTCATCATTGACTGTGTGTGTGTGACATCACCGATCAGCTGTCAGGTCTTTCTCCTTTTTCCTTCTTTTTCCACTCTTGGTCACCTTCTTCCTCTATTGGAAAAACCATCAGTAAAAAAAGCTGAGAATGTGTAGATTTTTAAAATATGAAATCTTTTCACTTCATCACCTTGGTGCTCGCTTTGGGCTTACTGCCTTTGTCTTTGTCCACAGCTAGCTTCCATTCAGCTAGCTCCCGTCGCATCTGCTCATCTATCTGAAAGAAGTTTTTAAAAAAGTTAAAAAAAACAAAAAAACACCACAAAACATTTTTCTTCCATTTTCTGTTCAGTTCTTCCAGCACCACCTGTAAAAAAAGAAAGAAAAACACCACAAAACTTTTTTTTCTTCCGTTCTCTGTTCAGTTCTTCCAGCACCACCTGTAATCTGATCTCTGCCTCGATGGCTTTTCTCTTTTCTTCCTTAATCAGCTCCACCTCGTGTCTTTGGTTGAAATTTTTGGACTCATCACGTGTTTTCCAGAAGTCTAAAAAAAGATGATGTTGATATGATGTAAATGTGCCGTGTGTAACTCTCTGTTGTTTGTCAGATAAACATACCAACAAAGATTTGGTTTCCAGCTTCCAGATGGGGCAGAAAAGCAGAAGGAAGCATCTTCAGCCCTGCCTCCTCTTCCTGTTTTAAAAATATGAGGTCATTTTTTTTTTTAATTTACTGCATGTGTCAATTAAACGTACTTTATTTTTTCAAATTATTACTACATTAAAAGGCTTGATTGTAAAATATTCAACGTACTTCTTCAGGTTTCCCCTTGTTCTTCTTCCCTTTGTCTTTCTTCTCATCCTTTGCTTTTGGTCTGTTGTTGGAATCCTCTAGTTCCTTCTCTGCAATCTCTTCTACTAACTTAGAAATATATGCGTATGAGTAAAAAACCTGATGCATTACTCTTGAGGAACAAGAGTTTAGAGAAAGTTTGAACAACAATATACCTGCTGTGGGTTCTTCTCTACAAAGATTAGAGCTGAGCCTCCGTCCTCTTCATTTGGATATTCTGGAAATACGCCTGTGGCATCGCTGATTAAAGAAGTACACTGACATAAATAAAACACAAACACATGTTTAAAATGTACAATTCCAACCAAGTTCTTTACCGGCACTCAATGAACCACTGCCGTATTTGAGTTTTCATTTTCTCGCTCATGTCGTGACCCTCTACATCTCGCAGCTGTTTGGCCACGGTAACAACTGACTTCTGGAAGTCTTCCTCGTGCTCCTGCTGCGTAAGCCGTGTACAAGCCGCAGTAGCCTGGGCCGCAATCTCTGCAGGACACGGCACCTGGTGCCTGGGATGCATGGCCTAAGATGCCAGTGGAAAAAAAAAAGATGTGTGTTTCAGTTTTAGACAAAAAAAACCCGCAAAAACCTAAAATACTCACCATTCCTAGAAAAATCATTTCTTCATCTCGGGCAATCTTTGTCCTTTTTCTCTGAACGTAACCTCTCCAAACCTACAATTTCAACCAAATTATTAATAATGGAAGGACACACAAGGTAACGTTTCCTTGAACTGAAGACCAAAGCACCTTCTGAATGCAGACTGCTGCGGACTCAATGTCAGCAGCATCGGGCTCCTTGGTCTTGAACATCCTGTTCATATTTCTGCTCTCCTCATTCAACTTTGCCCTCAGACGTCCTTGGCGTGCCCTCTCCACTATTTGGATTATTTTTATGGCTTCCATTGTTGTCATTTTTCTAACCACTAGTGACTATATCGAGACAAGAGTGGAAAAAAATAATTAAATGGAATTTGAGTTATTCTAGAAGTGAATAATGCAGTAGCGTCTATACGAATACACACGTGTCTTTTCTTGGACTTACCTCTTGGTTTTCGATGATTTCCACAGTTTTAAGGATGTCGTTCAGCATTGTCCGTCTCTCTCTAAGTTCTCTGCTGCATTCAGTTATGAAATAGCGAGGAATAGGGATCTCAAGGTCGGCCTATGGTGACAGAAATATAAATAGCTACTGAGTCACGACAAGACGTCACTGTATAAGCCATTGTGTGGTTTTCCATTTTTTTTTAATTGTGACTACTTAACCAAGAACGCAGACAGTCAATCAACTTAAAACATCCTGTGAAAGAAATTTTTCTTACAGGTCTGAGCTTCAGGTCATGAAGGACGTCATCCACGTAGTGATATTCTGAAAACTCCGTCTCCACCATGTCATTCTTCAGCTCCAGCACTCGTCCTATCACGTTATCAAGAACGGACTGGAGAACTCTTCTCTTCTGAGGATGCACCAGCTGATCGTAGACCATCTCCAGTTGTCTGAGGATCTGAAGGTAGCGGACATAGAGCACAGCCACGCGCTGAAAAAACACAACCCGGTCCCTTTCTGGACGAGGAGGCTCCGCAGGCAGCTCTTCTGTCAGCAGGCGGCTCAGCTCCAACTGGGCTCTGGCCCACATCTCATTGTATGTCCTGGAAAATTAGAAACAACTGTTTGAAGCATCAGATGTTTTTTCTTTAACGCTTACTGTATAAGATTTATGTATAAACATTACGAAATCCACATTCTATTGTCATGGATAAGGAGAAAAAGTTGATATTGATGTTTTGTCTAATATACCCAAATGAATGATCAATAAAAGGTGTATTAATTTTGGATCATGTCCATCCTGCAATGACTGGTTTAACAATCCAAAACATATTTGATTTTTTTAAATGCTGTGTTATAAAAAAATAGCCATAAAAGTGGCCAGAAATGTTAATACATTTGAAAAATGCCTCTGGTCTTTTTATGTGAATAACACTTCAGTGATGTTTATTTAATATATTGTATAAGTCACAACGTTTATTTGGAAAAAAACGTTGTGACGTTTGTGTTTACTATGTTTCTACTTTATATTAAATTATAAAATATGATGAAAAAACACATTTTACGTTAGGATCCCTTTACTTTGAGAAGTCTAGTATTAACTGATACAGTTACACTTCACCAGGTTAACTTATGAACTTGTTTAAAAAACAAATATTAATATAAACATATTTATAAGACGAATTATTTTTATTCAGCTTCTTAAAATCCCCTTAATTACGTTGGAACGTTGAGTTTACTTTGACTCGAATCTAAGGTGCGTCAAAAGGTAACACTTTACGACATGACACCCGCCGACGTTAGCATCGATGCAGCTAACTGGCTAATTAAAGTCGCGTTAAAGTACGGTGAACTTTACCTTTGAGACATGTCTCCCCATTCAAAGAGGGAGATGGCGAGAGGGAGAGAGAAAGAGGACGCCTCCGAGTAAAAAAAATTAAGAGACGCTTGTCAAACTTAAACTCTTGAAGGAAGAACACACACCGTCCCGGGGAAGACTCTGGGGTTTTGTCGTCTCCATGGTAACAAAATTCCGGAAGTGTTTAAAAAAAAACTTTTTTTACAGACAATTAATCAATATATTTAAAACTTTTTTTTACAGACAATTAATCAATATATCCCAACTGACTGACTGATTAATTTACACACAAACAAATGTATAGGACTACGACTTTAAAAGATAAATACGTGTTTAAACATCACAAACTTGAATTACTCCTTACGTGTAAAACCGCGATTAAAGCTAATGTTTACATTAGCCGACGGTGGACGAACGAAATAGCTCTTAGATTTACTAATTAAAGGATTCGTTATGGGGTAAAAACTCATATTAATCCACAAAGGATCATTATCAGAAAAATATGAATTGGTGACTAATCTTCTCTTTAATGGAAATGACTAATTAGGCTACTAAAAAGGTCTAATACCTAGCTTATACAACGGTTTTCGTCTAGCTTAATGTAATTAAGGTAACTAACTACTTTATAGACGCCACCTGAACCTGATGACGTCATTAACGACGCTGTTCTTACAGGCCAAGTACAACTATAAAGAAAATAACCAATATTTAACACTAATATTTCCTGATTTCGTATTTAATTAATTTCCTTTTCAATAGCTTGACCTGACACTAATCCAGTTTAAAGGAACCTTTCTGAATGCACATTGTGTGCATCATGTGAGTGCCTTTTTTTTTTTTTTTTAATGAACAAAATACAGTGAGTCTATACATTTACTGTCAAAAGTTGAAAAGGGAGGAAAAAGCAAGGTGGCGGTTCCAGGAGGCGCGTTCTCTGCGGTACTTAGGCGGTCACAAGACTCCACGTCGCGGAGCAAAAAACATCGGCAGACAGACGGGTCAGCTGTAGAAGCTTACAGGCGCACAGATTCCTCTCCTCCCGGCATCCAACAAGTTGCTCCATCTGGAAAACCACCGACTCTACTGCGCCTCTGGTGTCTTCATTCTTACGTTTTTATTTATTTATCTACATTTTTTTCTGTTACTGCGCCTGCAGAAATAGTTTGTGACTTTCTTCGGAACTTCGGGAAAAAAATATGGTGATGTTTTGGTGCGTAAAGGAGGGGCGCGTGCCAAAGTGAGTGCGATGTCACGGAGAGAAAATTGCCCCTAAGATGTCAACATTGCTCTGCCACCCACTCGAAATCGATTGTGTTACCTCCAAGAAGGTGGCTCCTCGTATATATAGGGGCGTGTTATTCCCAGAAAGACGGCGGTGAGGACAATCTTTCAGCTGTTTCCTCCCTGTCTGTTGGTCTTCTCCTCTCTCTCTGTCTCTGTCTCTCTCTCTTTCATTCTCCGTTCGGGATCACAATCAAAAAACCTGAAGTAATTTGTGGGAGACAAGTATATTGTGTCCATTCACAAGAAGGACATCAGAGTCTCCAACGCCTTAACTTGTAAGTCTGATGTTATTGTTTATTTGTGTGTGTTTTGTGTGTCTGTGTTGACTCAAACTGAACCAGAGTTAATATCAACTCTGAATATTATATATATATATATTGAATGCTGTGTACAATATTTTACACCTGTGCGTTAGAGAATCATCAGTTGGACTTGACAGAAACCACAGAACTCCATTTTAACGTCTTATTTAAATCCTTTTCTTTCTTTTTTTTCCAGACAGTGAAGTGAAGTCATGCAGGTGGAGAGGAAATGGCACGTACTGTTCACTATCTTCCTTCTGCTCATTACTTCGGGCCATTGCATGGACAGCAAGGAGGTCAAGCAGAAAGAGAGACGGACCCTGTTGGATCTAATCTTGCAGGTTATCAGAGACAGCCAGCAGCGGGACAAAGCCGGCGTCTCCAGACGCTGTAACAGTGGACACTCGTCCGGCCAGGACGTCAAGGTCTCCTCCCGGGAAAAGCCTTTCTATGTTTCCAGGCTGGATAACAGCAGACTCATAGGTAAGCTGATAAGATTTATATTTAGGTTGTGATGATGAAAGCATAATCTCTCATTGACTACTGCAGCCAGCTGTCATTGGTCAGATCTGAGCTAACGCACTGACGTGGGGGGCAGTATAAAGTATGGAGAACTAAAGGTCCACCTGTTTTTTTCCAGTGCGGTTGACCGTAAACTTAAATGAACATTTTTAACAACTCCCAACACTTTTGTCCACTTTAACGTCGAGGAATTTGGACAACGTTTATTTTCTTCTTCTCTCAAAGCAAAGCAAACTGTGATTGAAGCGTGGACACAGGCGTGGATAGGTGTTATGAATTCCTGGGAGGTACGCCCGTCACGTCACGAGCGATTCGTTGAGAGTGATTCATCACTGAACCTAAAATATGAATGATGACCACCGGGGGGCATTCACAGTGTGACGTCCCACGGAGCCTCTCCAATCACAGGCTCCTCCTCTGCAGAATCAAATCAGACCGAGCAGGAGAATTGACCTGTCCTTGTTGTTTCCCCCTTCTTTTTTTTTTTTTCAAAAACCATCGCAGCATCACGTCGACTCTAACTCAGGTTCTGTTTTTGATTGTAATTATGAAGCAGTTAAACACAGTGAGAACGACTGAACAAAGCTCTGAGATACAGTATATACAGTTAATTTTTACTAAACTACATGGTACATACGGTCTGTCTGATGTCACAGATGATATATATATATATATATACATATATATTATGTTAATTCCCATTGAACTAATTCAAAGGAATTAGAAAGTGTTTAGGAAAAGCAAGTATGTTTGGAGCTTTTTTCTAAGAAAGTGATGTATGGATAAAAAAAAAAATATATACATATATATATTTTTTGAGATTACATCACACTTCGCCTTATAGAAGCCCATGTCTCTGCCTCAGCTTACGCAACAGGGAAATCACCTCTTCTCAGGCCAGTGACTGGATGGAATTCATCTTTTGAGGATATTAAAAACAGCATATTAGCAAATGACGCACGTGACACGACCAGAGACACATTGTCACGCAAGCGGAGGTGCTGCGAAAAAACAAGAACAAAAATAAGGGAAAGAAACACGTGGAAAGCAGTAGTACAGCGCCCCCTTCCGATGTGTCCTGTTTGGCTACATAAACACAGTCGTAACATTTTTTATAAAACTTTTCAATTTTTTAACGTCACTGTCTGTCAAACCATCTTTGCTTTTTTCTTCCTGCTTCAGATCCTAGTGATTTAGTTTCTACTCATCAAGCTGCTACAGTTAGTTGACACACACGGAGTTTATAGAACAGGAAAACCTCATTTTCTCAGCTTCAGAAACATGACATCTTTGACACTGAGATCAATATATTGTTTTTAGATTTTCAGTTTGATGAACTGTTTTATTTAATGGACTAAGTAAAAAAAATACACTCCACTAATTTTTCTTATTAAGGCTCAACTGCTCAAAATTAATGTCTAGCGAAAAAAAAAAGTAAGACATGTACAACAATAGACATATTTGTCCACTTAAAATACACATTAAAGGAACTAAATTTAACATGATGTTAAATACACCTGGTTATGATTGTCATTAGATTTAACATGACGTTAAATACACCTGGTTATGATTGTCATGGACTTATTATGAAGAGCATTTAAATCACCATACGATAATCCTCTCTGTCTGTTAGCAGGGTCTGTGCATTATCACATGGACGCATCTGTCGCCCATGTGGACAGACTGATTAATGACTCCTAATTAGTGAACAACAGTTAAATAAAAACAAGTTCTCTGACTGTTTTTTTTTTTCTTTTTTTTTTGCTCTCCACGTCTGTCTGGTAAATATCTCTGGTTTGTGGACAAAAGAAAACATTTGAAGGCATTGTTATTTTTTATTTTTTTCCATGATGTTTTCCACAATGACAAGTTAAGTGAATAAAAAAACAAAAGGCTGGGGGGGGGGGGTTTCTCCA